CTGTCAGTTGTCTTTGGCGCAAAATTGAAATTGAATTCCCACAATTTGTGTATTAAAATGTAATTAATTCAATATTTAGTTTTCTGCTGCAACAGCAAAAGTTCCTTCAATACCTTAAAAACATTTTAACGTTAAAAATATGACTCAAACTCTCCCTTATTTAAAAAAAGTGACTAAGGAAAAGTGTTTTTCTACTCAATTAATTTGGCATCCAATCAAAGAAGTCATCAGTATTGTGCCTCCCCTTAAGGTTTTTACAATTTCAACCATTGTGAACTTTTATTCCACATATCAACGTACTCCATCTGGCTCACTTTATTTACAATTACCTGTGATTACAAGTAGTTTCTACGCAGTTGCAGTTGCATCTATGCAAAATGCATTCCAATGTTTTATAATTCACTTTTATTCGTACTCATATCAAATATAAATGTTTGCGTGTACATATAAGTATGTATAAGTATTCATTGTATAATCTTATCTCAAATTTGTGGGTTTGCTTTTGGCAAGTGTAGCTTATTTATAGGGAGTCATCTACTTGAGGAGTTAACGAATTTCGTCATTGATAAGGCCTGAATTGGGCATGGGAAAGGGGAATGAATGAAAGGGTGTCGGGTGCTTCATATCCTTCGGGCTAATCGCACTCGTCAGCTAAAACTAGACTTGAAGTGAATTGGAATCCAACGTGAATGATTGCGGGAGATGGTTGTACAACCTGTGTTAAAACTTTAAAAGGAGATCGCTTTTTAGCCAGCCTTATTGCCGTTCGGTTTGTCGCCGAAGCGCAGTATGCGCGTCAGCATGGAGGTGAGGCACGGTATCTGCTTCTGGCGATCCATCATCGGAGTGGCGGGCACGTTCGACTCAAAGTCTAGGGCTACGCGCTGGTTTACGAATGTGAGCAGGGTGAGTATGTCGTACTTCTTGCCATTGGCATTTAGCTCGCGGATCAGCGACTGCATGTACCAGGACCCGTTGTTGATGTTGCGCCAGGAGAAGTAGCCTAACAGCGCATAGCGGGATGTCTAGTTAAGTTAACTGAAATGTTTTTAAAGGCATATAGTCCTTACCCGGGATGGTAGAGTAGGAGAATAGAAAGTCAGCGTGTATGGGTATCTTGTAGCTCGTCGAGGACTCGCCATCCGTCTCGGTAACGCTCTTCTCCAGAGTAATCCCTCCGTCCAAACGATCGCCCTGGCAGGCTTGGATGAAGAACAGCTTCGGCTTGCCCGCCAACGAGGGGCAAAAGGTGGCAGTGAAGTAGTGCCAAATGTTGTCCAGCTTGTACTGCGTATCCTTGGCGTACAGGTAGCCGTGCTCCCCGTGGGAGAGGATGGCCACCGCAAGGCAGTCGTTGTCCGCGTGATCCTGCTCGGCGGCCTTTTCCACGTGCTTCAGGATGTCCCTCAACTTGCAGTCCTTGTACACGGACACCGAAAATCCCAGGTTTTCAAAGGCCTTCTTCAGCTCCTGGGCATCTACATTCGTTCCGGTGCGACTCTTCAGCGAGGGTATGTCGAAGTACTCGTGGTTGAAGATCAGGGCTATTCCGCGGTGCTTGTGATTCATGTTGTATTCGCTGGCATAACGCTCCACGGGCATTCGGGCCACAAACTTGTTGGCCGGCAGGGATGAGGCACTGCTGAGGAAAGGTCATCAAATTCGTAATAGCCAATTGAAATGTCTACTGATATCAACGTGATTAGATAAGGATAACTTGAACAATTGATTTCTAATCGCCAAAAAATACTGTCACAGATCGAAATTAGGTATTTGATAAGGATTTATTTCCGGACTTTAAAATGCAACAACGCATTGAGAACAAAACAAACAAACAAACGCATAAAGACAGGAATGATGAGAGAGGCTCTCTCTCTCTTTCTCTCTCTCATCTCATGGACTTACCTCGCTGCAGTTGCACCACCAACAACCGCCTCCGGCGTACAGCCCTTGGCATCGGTATTATCAGCATTATAACTGCCCCGATTTGCCGCTCCGTTCGGGCTGAGAATTCCAACTCCGTAGTTTCTAGTTACGCACTCGTCGGTCATTTTCTGTCCCTCTTCTTGCTTAAGTTCTTGTTTTGATTGTTTGCGTTTCTCCTTCTTTTTCCTCCTGCCTTTTGTTCGCTTCCTCCGGCTTCTCCCTCGCCCCTGCTGCGCTTGTCTTCCTCTTTCGCTGCTCAAGTTGTTGCGCCCTTTTTGGACTGATTCTTGTTTTATTCTGGCACTGCTTCTGTCCAACTTCTGTTTCTATCGCTCTGAGCTGGCCAAACTTTCCGCAGCGCAGCTGTTTCTCAATTCTCAGCCAGCTTTTGTCGGCGTACAATCGACCGAATGTCCTTTTATGGCTCAGAGTCGGACGTGTTTAATCAATCAATTAACGGAGGTTAAGCGTGCTCGTGCTCGCAGCGCGAAAACAAACTGCGAATGCATGTAATGGTGTGTATGCACTTGCCGCCAAGCGGCGATGACCGGCCTTCGATAGCACGGCTGACATCGACTGGGCGATATCGATTAATGTGTAGAGGGTGTTCCGGTACTTGGTGGCCCTATTTAAATTTAAACTTTAGCATTATAATGCACATTTTCAGGCCAAGAGAACTCCGATTGATGTTCATTTAAATTATATGTAGATGTATTAATCATTTACCAAAGCAAATATGGACATGGGGGTGTCCCCGAGCAGCACATTATTTTTGCCAATTTGGCTTCAAAAGGGACATCCCCCAATAATTATTTTAAATATAACTTCTTAGTTAAACGTTAGCCACACGCTTATCTTTTCTAACATCTAAAACAGGTATACGCCGGCGACGGAATGCCCGAGCACATCTGTCTGGAGTGCCGCCTTCTTTTCGAGCACTGCTACCGCTTCAAGCAGATGTGCAAGCGGGCGGAGACGCTCCTGCGGCAATATCCCCTCACCGGTAACTGGCCCTCGCCGCTGGAGAAGCCCCGTGCGCCCATGACGACGGTGGCGCCCAAGAAGTTGCTGGTCCTGCCAGCAACGTCAGCCGAGGCAAACACAAACGAAACGCCCAAAAAACTGCTGAACACAATGGCCAAGTCCAATCAGTTGGTCGTCGAGAACGTCCAGGTGTTGGAGACCACCTTGGTACCACACAAGATGACATCGGGTGCCTCTCCAGTACCACGTCGTTCCCATGCCTATGAGCTGAAAGTGGAGAACAACCAGGAGCTCTCCATGGACGATGTGCAGAGCATGCTGGAGGACATGGCCAGTGAACTAGAGAAGGAGTTTACCGAAGTCCCTCCGAAGGCGTCACCCGTCAAGCCAAAGGTGCTGAACAAGTCGTCGATTAGGATCTTGAACAAGGGACCCGCTGCTCCGGTGGAACCGCGCTTGGCCACTCCCAAAGTCAAGCGAGATGACAGTGGTAATGTGGCCATAGTGACCGAGGTTCTCGACTCGGAACTCCCATTGGATGATCAGGATGATCCGACTAAGAACGCCGAGAAGGTGGCCACCGACGTGTTCCCGTGTCCCTATTGCGAACGCTCCTTTCCGCTCCAGCAGCTGCTCGATATCCATCGGCTTAATCACACTCGCTCGCGCAGCTTCCAGTGCCCCCAGTGCGAGAAGAGCTTCTTCTCCAAGTACGACCTGGCCAAGCACAATTTCGTGCATACCGGCGAGCGACCTTTTAAGTGCGCCATCTGCTCGAAAGCCTTCACCCGGAAGGCATTGCTGCACCGCCATGAGCGAACCCACACGGACGTACCCAAGTTCATCTGCGTTTACTGCGAGAAGCCATTCCTTTCGCGGCAGGAGATGGAAAAGCACGCCGAGCGGCATCAGAAGAAGCGTCCATTCCAATGCGGCGTATGTACCAAGTCGTTTGCCTTTAAGCAGGGATTGGAGCGTCATGAGGTATGTTGATTGAACCAATTTCCGGATGCCCAGGCTAATGATCATGCTCACTTTCAGGTTGTCCACTCCACCAATCTTCCCTTCCCCTGTCAGCACTGCGAGAGAAGCTTTTCCACCGCCTCCAAGCTGGCTCGCCACCTGGTTGCCCACGCCGGGAAGAGAGCGTACCCGTGCAAGTACTGTCACAAGTCCTACATGTTGTCCCACCATCTCTCGCGCCACCTGCGCATGCACACGCAGACATCGGACGCTTCGTTCGTGTGCAGCGAGTGCAAGGTGTCGTACAGTAACTACAACGACCTGCTGGAGCACTCGCTTATCCATGCCACCGCCAGTCTGAAATGTCCCATGTGTCGGAAGCAGATCGACGATGTCGATAGTGTCGAAGGCCATATGGAGCAGCATAAGCAGAGCGAGCGTCACGCCTGCGAATTCTGCGACCACATCTTCTTGACACAGAAATGCCTGCAACGGCACATCGAGGACGATCATGTTGTGGACATGGAGCCATACCAGAACGAGTTCGAAGATGACGGCGAGGGCGATGAAAAGGAGGAACATCTCGAGGAATTTGAAGACATGGACAATGTCAAGCAGGAGGAATTCGTGACGGAATACTTGGAAGACGATACTCTCGATGATGATCACCTAGACGATAGCGACGAATCCTTCACGCCGCCGCCTGCGAAGCAGCGTAAAACCAATCCTCCCAAGGGAGTCCAGCAATCCTTGCGCCAAACTCGTAGTCGGGATGCTCAAAAAATCTCTTCGAAGTCAGCGAAAAAGGAGGACAAGTCTCCTCCCAAATTGGAACGCCACCTTAAGAATCGCCGATCCGCAAAATAATAATTGTAATATAATGCATACGGAAATTGTATCCATGTTCATGCTTTTACATTACAGTTTATGTATTCTATTTAATTGGTAGTTTTAATTAATCAATCTGACTTGATTTTCCTTTAACCAAAGGCCTTTTAAATAAACTCCTCACCAGAATTCCGTGGTCACTCATTGAAATGGTCGTTGCCCACCTTGTATATTGTATAGATAAACGAAGGTGCAAGATACATGTCCATGTGTCCCACATATCTGATTCTTAGGGGATGTCCTCGCTCTTTTTTGATCTTTATTGAAGCGCCAACGGGAGTTTGGGTAAATGTGTTTTCTGTGTATTTCCGCCTAAGGTTCAGTTTACATTAACGTTTATCACTACCAAACAACGAATAGTCCCCGGGGACCGGAGGCGGTGGCCATCTAGTGCTCGTAGCCGTCGGGCAGGGGGTTCACGTGGGGGTTGTGGAACAGACTCTTCTGGCCCTCACCCCAGGGGAAGCGCTTCTCCCGGCGGCGCAGGTACTCGTACTTGACAAACTCCTGGCGAGGCTTGTCGTGCTCCTCCTGGTGCTTCAGGTAGGCGTTCAGCATGCACAGTCCCACGGCGGGCACGGCCACGAAGAAGGACAGGCGCTTCCACACCTTGTAGCCACCTAGGGGATGATATGAGCATGGGAGGTGTGTTATAAGAGAGACTCCTTCGCCAACGGCCAAATTACATAACCTTAACCTTACAAAAGGGGACGAATTTGGCCATTGGGTTTCTGGACGAACACTTACCGGAGTGCTCGCCGGCCACGGCGGCGGTGCCGGACATATTCCGGGCGGCAGTGGCGCCGAATTGGCGGCGAATTGCGTGGTTTAGAATAGCGGACATATTTTCAGTCGATTCTTGGCCCGAATGAAAATTTGCTGTTTTGACAAGTAAATAGGGATGGGCTATGTGCAAGAAATGTCGTGACTTGTTCGCTGTTGGATATCGATAGTTCTAGGCAGTGATTTCTAAATTATGTGTGCAGTGCAGTTAATTGGCTTAATATAAAAACAGGAAAAACAAACTAAAGCAAATTAAAACTCCGTAACTTGAAATTATATTTTGGTATCCTTTCCTGCCGTGACACAGCGCTAGCTAATCGGCCACCTCTAGAAGTTATCGCCTCACGCCCCCACCGCCGCCGATAGGTACTCTGTGTACGGGCTATCGAGGCTGGAGTCGGCTACCAATCGTCCATCCACAACAACAACGTGTCGCGTAATTATTTTCCCCTCTTGTTTATAAAATTAAACGCATCAGATTGTAAATACACTGCACACAGCTGCAAAGCCCGCAAAACACACGGTCACAGCAGCAACTCGAACTTAAGCAACGAACGGGAAAATCATTATCGTACGGGCAGTGAAGAGCAATTAATCAGGCGAAACCACCAATCCAAGTACAAAGTAGCTTCCAAACCGCCAGCTATTCATTAAGTGCACAGTTCGCCAGGCGCTCAGCAGACATAACGGTCGCTACACTCAAAGAAACCCACAAGTATTACGGACCACACACCCACACAGTCACCCCACCACCACCAGCATGGCCGCCAACAACTTGCGACAAATCCCCCTGACCTGCAGTGGCCACACGCGACCCGTGGTCCACCTGGACTTCAGCGACATCTGCGACGCCGGCTACTTTCTCATCTCGGCCTGCAAAGGTAAAGTCCGTGGGATCGACCAGCAAGTCGCATGCGATTAGCCGTCCTTGCGCGCTATATATAGACCACTTTCCGTCGTCGCACAGTGGTTCGATTCGAGCACATCTATTCGATTGGGTTGAAGTTGCACATGCATCGCTGACCAACTAGGACATTTTCTGAAAACCAAACGTTTCCTGCTGCTGATTCCAAGGACATGGACAAAACTAGTGTTTGGACTTTGGACTGTTCATATAGCAATAGTTTGCTGTATATATGCAAGTTTCCTGATAAAAACAAGCAGTTACTATTGCTTATTAGCTCAATTTTTAATATAGCTTTGTGGGAAGGGCAAATAATGTTTGATACAGAAGGTCAGCGTAATCATTGTGTCGAAAAACAAGTTATATTGTAAGCGTTCTGTGATGGATTATTGTGTTCGTAGGAAAGGTGCTGCATCAGATCGGCGAATCATATGTAGTACAGGCGGGCAAACACGATGTAGCATCATGTCTAGCCTGTGGGAAACCTTGACCCAAATGCAAAGTCACTTATCGCGAGCGAAACCTGTTTTCTGCGAGTGCGAAAACCCTTTTGCCGCCACTCGCATGCTACAAAATGCGAGTTCTTTGCCTTGAGGTGTCAGCCAGTCGATGCGATTGCAATTGCAATTGCAGTTGCATTTGTTAGCTATTGCTTGTTTTTTGTTTATTTACAGGCCTTTTGCATTCGTGGCTTTTGTAAAATGCTGCTTTTATGCGGAAAGAGCGCTCGTTCCCACTGCAAGTTCAAGTTGACTTCGTTATCGCCTTTTAACGTACTCGCTTCCCTTGTTTAGCAACTTTTCGAAACTGCTCGTTTTGTGCTTTCGGTTCGCTCGGTAAATGTATTCAGGAAGCACCTTGGAACTTCTATATTTATATGCTGCGTATTTGCAGCTGCCGTTTGGCTGTCGGGAGCGGAAAGTCGCCTGGAAGATTCTGGTTAGTGGATACACTTTCCTGTAGCACTGTAGAGCAGTGCTGCTACCCAGAAGATCCGCTGAAATGTATTCGGAAATTGTTCGGATACAGTATCTAATGTGTGGTTAATTCATGTGGTATTCACTCTGATGAATCATTACAAGTTTAAGGTCAAAGTTATTGTATAAATTAGAATGGGGAATTACATAATACACATTATTTTATTAAATGCGCTTGTTTCCTTAGGCGAGATAGACAAAAAGAACCTTTCTCTGCAAAGTTAAACTTTAACTATCGCTTAGAGTTTCTATACAAATCACAAGTAGCAGGCAAACACTAGCAAAAGTCCTTCAAATAGCGAGAGTTAGGGGATCGTTTATCACACAAATAGAATGCATTGATGACCATTCACACTGCGAAATGAAATGTAGCTTCGATCGAGCTAACAAGCCGCGTCCCTGCACTGCAGCACCCTGCATCCCGATCCCGCCGAGCGGAGCAGTGCAGTGCCAGTGACGTGAACTTGGGAGCTCGCTTGCATGATTGAGAGCGGCAGGCAGCCAGGTCGTTGGCCTTGGCGGCAGGCATTGAGTCAAGGTGGCTTCCGTCCGCTAATTTATGCACGCACGCTCGGCGGCGGGCGAAAGCGAATGCAACTGACCGAGAATCGTGAATTGTGAATCTTGCAGATGGCAGCCCGATGCTGCGGCACGGCGACACCGGCGACTGGGTGGGCACCTTCGAGGGACACAAGGGCGCCGTGTGGAACGCCACGCTGAACCGGAACGCCACTTTGGCCGCCTCCGGAGCGGCCGACTTCACCGGCAAGGTGTGGAATGCGGTGAGCGGGGCCGAGATACACAGCTTCCAGCATAAGCACATCGTGAAGAGCGTGGCCTTCGACAGGGATTCCGAGAACATAGTGACTGGTAGCAACGAGAAGCTCGTGCGGGTCTTCAACCTGGAGCAGCCCGAGGCACAGCCGGAGGAGTACGCCGGACACACGGGGTCCATCAAGCGGGCGCTCTTCTGCCGCGGCGACAAGTGCATCATCTCGGCGGCCGAGGACAAGACGGTGCGCCTCTGGGACCGCATGACGGGCATCGAGGTGCAGCGCCTGCAGTTCAACAGTAATCCGAACAGCCTGGAGATCTCTAGCGACAACCACATCCTGACCATATCGCACGGCTCCTCGATTAGCTTCTGGGAGATCGACACGCTGAAGAAGCTGAAGGAGGTAAAAGTGCCGACGAACGTGGCGTCGGCCAGTTTGCATCCGGATAAACATGTATTTGTTTGTGGCGGCGAGGACTTTAAGATGTACAAATTCGATTACATTACAGGAAACGAAATTGGTAAGAGCCCGTACCTTCTCACATGAGTAAGCTTTAATCCGAAGGTACTGTTCCCCCACAGAATCTTTCAAGGGCCATTTCGGACCCGTGCACAGCGTGAAGTTCAGCCCGGATGGCGAGCTCTATGCCAGCGGCTCCGAGGACGGCACTCTCCGGCTGTGGCAAACCACTGTGGGAAAGACCTACGGCTTGTGGAAGTGCACGGAGCCCACGGACCTGGGCAATTCCATCAGCTCGCCGCGCGAGGTGCAGGCGAACTGATGTTGGCGCAGCAGGAGTCGCTGCTACACAGCCCACGCTGCATCGGCGACGCAACGGAAGGGCTCGTGACTCGGAGCTACGGCTGAGATCCGATTATCAGAACAAGAACAACACGTAGTGTGGGCTACAATAACGATTCTTCATATTCCAACGCTGAACTCTCTCATTGGCATTAAATGATAATCACACACAAAACTACATTGTGAAATGCAATAGAAATAAATAACTTAAGTGTCGCACTTGTGACTGGATAGAATGGATGCAAAGGTTCCCGGGGCTTAGATGTGGGTGCCTGTGGCCCAGCCGTGCAGGTAGATGGTGGTGAAATTCAGCAGTGGTTCGCCCTGGTGCACATCCGCGCGGTTCTGGAGGTGATCGAACCAGCGGGAGAGATTCAAATAGGCCTCCTTGTCCACCGGCGAGAGGGATTTCTGGAAGGGATCAAATGGATTTAATAAAGAGAAGATTACAAGGCTCAATGGAATAGCAAATAGAACTAGAGAATTTATCCTAGGCTCACCACAAGATCGTAGATGGCATAGTAGACCGCCAGGTCGGCCAACGTAATGAAGTGGCCCACCAGGTAGGATTTGCTGGCGAACAGTTTGTTAAAGTCCGCGAGAAGCTGCTTGGACACGTATTTGTCCTTGGAGCCGGGCGCCACGTAGAGCACGGAAAACTCGATCCACTGGTACACCTGGGCCTCCACTTCCCGCGACGCCCTGCTGTTCTGTGCGGTCTCCGACTTGGATTCGCTTGCCAGGCTCTCCAGGATCGTGGCGAATCCGGCCACGCTCTTCTTTTGGCCACTCGTGCGCGTTACGACCTTCACAACAGAAAATAAGTTGGTGAGGCGGCGCGAATCGTGCGATTTTCAGGGTCAGCGGTGCGTCCATACCTGCTCCTCGTTGAGGTGCACCTTGCCGGGATTGACGCCCAGGCAATTGGCTATCTTCTGCACTGTTGCAACGTCGCACATGGTCAGCGAAAGTAAAGTTATTATATTTGGCGTGCAAATTGCAAGAAACGATAATACTCCAGATTGGCAGAGTTGCACCAATCGCCAGGCAAGTATCGATAAGTGTGTGCTATCGATTGTTGGCGACAAAGACGCCAACTTTAAACGGAAAATAAGTATTTTTTATTTTCCGCTGTTCGGTTCGTTTACAATTAGGATTGATTTCTAGTGGCATTCCCCTGAACCGACTTGGACAAGGCCTCATAGGTGACATCATATTGCAGCAGGAAGATGAAGAAATCAGCAGAGGCCACCAACAACTAAGCTTGGAAATTAAACTTTGGAATAAAGCTGTAATGCACACTTACAGTGGTTAAAAACTTGAGGTCCAGATTTATGACTCCACACACCAGATGCTGCCGCACATTCGTTCTCATTTGGATAATAAAATGGGTAATGGTATCCTGAAGATCAATTCTGGTACACGACACTCTACTCAATACGCTCAAGCATCTGGAATGCTAACGATATATGTACATATCAGCTATGCTCGGGACTTATTTTGGGTTACCCTACCTCATTCTGAATACTCTGGTTGAAGTACAGGATGCTGCATACCTTTCCCACGTGCATGGCCAGCCAGAGGAGCATACATACCCACTTGGCCAAGTCGGCCATGGATGGATTCTCAATGCCCTGATACACGAGGAACAAGACGAGGTTAAAGTTCAGGAAACACCCCACGAAGAGCAGTAAGATGGAGTACTGAAACATCCGGTTTACCACTTTGGTAAAATCAATCAGCTCTGCGTGATGCCTCCGGATTTTTTGGACCTCCGACATCCGAGGGCTTTGCAAATGAATTAGCTCCCGCTCCAGGTTTTCAGTTAGCTTTCTTTGACGCCATGCGATTCCTTGGAGCAGGAGATAGTACTGGATGAAGGATATGCTGCTTATGATATTGGGCATCACATAGCTATTAATGCTCAAAATCGATCCGTATACAACGTATTTCTGGGTCCAGATATTAAAGAAAATCGCTAAACAGGTGAACATCCCTATTAAAAACATATGCAGCCTAATAAATCTCTTGGTTTTGCTGCAGTCTATGGTGTAATCTCTATCTAGATCGGATATTACGATATTCTTCATCACCTTGGGAGCCGCGTTTCTACACTGCCAAGTGAGGAGCATAATGAAAGATATGTGCACTACATAGATTGCAGACTCAAAGGTATTTAGATAGCGGTCCAAGGATACCCTCTGTGTGGTGATGAGCACGAATTCCCAGTAGGAGCCCACGACGAACGATCCATACCCCAGAATCATCCAACTGAAATGGACTAATCGGTAGATTCTGTTCGGGCAGCCTGGTAGAATGGTTATAGGTGCCGTATTTGCCAGAACGGCGATAAGTAGCAACCAAAATACAGCTCTATGAAACTCTTTGTACCTTTCTGCATATTGTGGATAATACGGAGATGGTCTGCAAGGTCAGTTACTATAGATTTATCTAACTTAAGCTAGCGCCTACTCACCCTTCTCTTGTAAAAACCTTGACTTTAGCGCCCGTCGTTGGTGGTTTCTCTGAGGTCCGCATGATGACTACTTAGGATTTAAGTTCTTGAAATCATTTAGGCCTGTCAGTTGCTTCAGTCATCATCAATCAATCACATCAATTAAAAGTTCAGCTCTTTCACCACTTTACCACTTTCAATCATTAATTACAGCGAGCTCACGATGGACACTACGTACTGGCAGAATATCCTGATGACCCTCAACCGGTTGCTGGGCGTATATCCAAGCGGGAAAAGAGGCGTACTCCGCTGGATCCACTCCCTTTGGAGCCTGTTCCTGCTTCTGTACATCTGGATTGGCAGCATTGTCAAGTGCCTAGAGTTCACTGTGGAGGTACCCACGATCGAAAAACTGCTCTACTTGATGGAGTTCCCCGGCAACATGACAGCCACCGCCATTCTGGTTTACTATGCCATATTGAATCGTCCTCTTGCTCATGGAGTGGAGTTCCAGATTGATTGCATAATCGCAGGACTCAAAGGAAAAACTAAACGTCTGCTCTATAAGAGACATGGTCAGAGGACTCTTCATCTAATGGTGACCACTATAGTCTTCCATGGCTAGTGTGTTCTGGTGGACGTGGTCAACTATAACTTTGAGTTGTGGACCACTTTTAGCAGCAATAGTGTCTACAACCTGCCTGCCCTAATGATGAGTCTGGGGGTACTCCAATACGCCCTACCCGTCCACTTCCTGTGGCTTGTGCTGGACGAGATGCGGACGTGTCTCAAGGAGCTGAAGTTGCTGCAGAGACCACCGCAGGGTACGACCAAGTTGGATGCCCGTTACGAGTCCGCTTTTGCTGTTTTGGTAGATGCGGGTGGAGGATCTGCTTTGATGATTGAAGAGATGAGATCAGCCTGCAATCTGCTTGAGCTTGCCCACAACAAGTATCTGTCGAGATTTGGTCCCTTTCTGGTGATAAACTTAGTCAATTCCCTGGTCAGCACTTGTGTAGAGTTCTACTTGGTCTTCAACTTCTTTGAGACTCCTCTCTGGGAGGAGACCGTGTTGCTTGTATATCGCCTGCTCTGGCTAGCCATGCACGGCGGACGTATCTGGTTCATCCTGGCGGTCAACGAGCAGATTCTGGAACAGGTAATCATTAATATTCAAATATAATACGACCGGATTTCTATATAGAGCACTCCAAAGCCCAGAAATGTAAGCTATGCCAGCTGCTGAACGAGTTGGAGGTGTGTAGCTCGCGCCTGGAAAGGACCATTAATCGCTTTTTGCTACAGCTCCAGAGGAGTATTGACCAACCCCTGGAAGCCTGTGGAATCGTCACGATGGACACGCGCTCTTTCGGCGGGGTAAGTGGGTAGCAGTCGTCCAATTAACCCGTTTGTAGCCTTTGTCCATCGACAGTTTATCGGCGTTCTGATGGCCATTGTCATTTTCCTCATACAAATAGGCCTGGGCAATAAATCGCTAATGGGAGTCGCCCTCGACAGATCCAATTGGGTTTACGTTTGACGAAAAATGAGCTCCAAGGGTTATCAAAGCGAAACCCATCCACATACAGGTATTGAGTTAAAAGGTCGTGGGTATGACCCTTTCTTTGTGCTTAAAATCTCATCGAAATCAGCCAAAGAAATTAAGAACTAATGGAGGTCTAACATTTAACGCACCTAAATAAAAGCTGTAACCAACTGGCTACGATTTTCATTCGGTAAATAAATGTCCAACGAACGACTGCGGCTTTGGATTAGAGGAGTCACTGCCAGGATCCTTCGAGGACTCTTGCCGCTCTTCAGGTTGGTCTTGGCTGGTTGCGGCAGGTTCTTCGGCCGGTTGAGAGATGTGGTGGGTCAGGCAGGAGCCGAAACTGGTCTCCTGGCGCTGAGCTTGTGCGTCAACCGGAGTATCCATCTGCTGGAAAGGCTTTTTTGGCTGGCGGTGGTTATAAGCAGTGTGATCACCGCTCTGGTGCTTAGTAGCCTCCAGTTGGAGCGCTACTTAAGCTCGCCCACCGTGATCTCCGTGGACCGAGACTATCGCGGCTGGAACGGATCCCTGCCGGCAGTCACCCTGTGCTACTACGACCACATCGACTCCTTCAAGGCCAATGAGTACATACAGGAGGTGTGGAATGTGTCCATCATCGACGAGGACTACTTCCTCTTCATGGACTTCCTGTACGCCGTGGTGAACGCCACAGCGGGCAACTACGCCGAGTTGGCCAAGTTCGCGGAGGACTCGCGCTTCGACCAGATCGACCTGTACGAGATGATCCAGCGGGTGGACAGACCCTTCGAGCAGGTCATCAGCAGCTTCGACTCCGGCTTCCAGGTGCATGTCCAGAGGGTGATGACCGAGCGAGGAGCCTGCTACGCTATCAACTCTCCCATGTCCACGGTGCTGAGTGGCCAGTGAGTGCTTAGGGAATTTGTCCACTTCGCGGTGATCCTGCCATCCTCCGTTTCAGACCAGTTGCCTATGACTTGATGCCACAACCACTGTCCTGCCAGTATGGAAAACAGCAGTGCTACATTCGGATGGATTTGTATGAGAGCACGGGCGTGGTGGGTGATGCACGGTGGCCTCCATTGAGAAGAGTCGCTATTGAATTATGAAATCAACCTTTCAGCTGGACGTACACTCGCCATTTGAGGTTTCGGCCACAGAGGCGAACATTGTGGCGCTCCACAAATCCGACGAGATAACCGCCTCGTTCAAGGTACTGGAAACGGTGTAAGTAGACCAGACCCCCGGATTACATTACACCATCATCCAGACATAGAGATTGATTTATATGCTTCCCCATCTCCAGAGCATCGAAGAACTTACGCCAACTGAGCGTCGCCCAGCGCAAGTGTGTGTTCAACAATGAGGAGACATCCAACCTGAAGGTACATACTCGTATATGCCCATATACACACCTTATCTGGGGGAAAGTGCTTGGGTATTCAAGCGATGCCCTGCGTTTCGGTTCGTCAAATAAACAAATTTCCCAAGTCAAATGAAACAGCACCTGATAAGTCACATCAGTGCAAGGAACTCGTATTTCGTAGCAGGGAATGCAGGGGATCCTGACTTGGGTTCTCCACTTTGGCATAATGATGCTTCACTTCATCACATATCATCACATTTACTTGTAAATCCGTTTGCTTATATAGATCTACAGCAAGTCCCTGTGCCTGGCCAAATGTCGAGCGGTGATGGCGCTCGAGATGTGCAGCTGCGTGCCCTTCTTCTACCCGTATGTGGATGGACCCAGTTGCAGTCCCGCCGGATTCGAGTGCCTGCTGGACTTCAAGTGGCCCATCTGGGCGCTGCACATCTGCAAGTGCCCCTCCACCTGCACCGAGATCGAGTACACCATGCAGACGGTCAAGAAGAGCTCCTGGGGCGTGAAGAACAACGAGGAGGTGGCCAGCAGCGAGACTGCCACCTCCAGCTTCCGCTGGGATCTGATTCCTCCGAAGGTGCGCATGCGGCGGGATGTGGTCTATAGCTTCGAGGACTTAGTGGGTGAGTCCATTTCAAACTCTTATTTATAATGTTATATACATGTAATATGCGCTTTACAGTATCCTTTGGAGGTGTCCTGGCCCTCTTCGTGGGCGTCAGTGTGATGGGGCTGGTGGAGATGGTCCATGTGCTCGTCTACAACTTGCTGCTGGACGTCTTCACGGTGCTCCGCCTGGTGTTTGGTCGACTGCGGCGCTGCTGGCGAAGAGACGACCACAAACCGGAGGCCGACCACCACCATGCCCGACTGCATGACTTCAACGAGCGCCTCTCTTTGGCCGACACCGCTGAACTGCCGCCTTTTGACTACGTGAATTGATAAGCGACAATTAGCTGGCAAACCAAATGCGGTCAAAAGTTTAATGTTACTGGGGGGATGGGCTGGAGCGGGGTGACGGTGGCTGATGGATCCGTTGGGGGTAGAAAACCATGTTGCCGGCAGCGGCGTTGCCCAGTTGCCGCTCAGTCTTCCACGCGAACAGTCGACTGCGTCTGACCGCGATTGCATTTGCCCAGACAGATTTAAGGTTTCCCCCCAAAGATTCCGAGCAGATATGCAAATACATTGTAGGCGGCAGACCCTCAGATAAGATAAGCCTGCTCCGGAGGCGATAAGGCGGAACATCAAATAGCCAGAATTTGAAGAGTTCGTGGACGAGGTGACTGAACCCGTCGAACTAAGCTTGACATGCAGGAGTCCGGCGGCTCGTCGGGTCAGGGGCAGGGAGGTCCATCTTTGTGCCTCGAGTGGAAGCAGCTGAACTACTATGTGCCCGCCCAGGAGCAGAGCAACTACAGCTTCTGGAACGAGTGCCGCAAGAAGCGGGAGCTGCGGATCCTCCAAGACGGTGAGTCAATGCTCCGGATGTGGATGTGCCTATGGGAATGGGACTGATTTGCGGTCTGGCCCTGTTCGATTTGGTTTGCAGCCAGCGGGCACATGAAGACCGGCGACCTCATCGCCATACTGGGCGGATCCGGAGCGGGTAAGACCACGTTGCTGGCGGCGATTTCGCAACGGCTGCGTGGTAACCTGACCGGGGATGTGGTTTTGAACGGCATGGCCATGGAGCGGCATCAGATGACGCGCATCTCCAGCTTTCTGCCGCAGTTCGAGATCAACGTGAAGACGTTTACGGCCTACGAGCATCTTTACTTTATGGTGGGTCCTTCCTTATCCCAAATGGTCCTTACTAAAAGAACCATTCATTTATAAATAAATGTTCCTACCTCATTAATTTAGAAATCCCAATTATATCTATTAATACCACTTGCAACGGACTAAGTAAGAGGATCTTTTACATCGAATTACTTGATTATTCGCCCTTCCCAGTCCCATTTTAAGATGCACCGGCGCACCACCAAGGCGGAGAAACGTCAGAGGGTGGCGGACCTCCTCCTGGCAGTGGGCCTGCGGGACTCCGCCCACACCCGCATCCAGCAGCTGTCGGGCGGAGAACGAAAGCGACTCAGTTTGGCCGAGGAGCTGATCACCGATCCCATATTCCTGTTCTGCGATGAGCCCACCACGGGATTGGACAGCTTCAGTGCCTATTCGGTGATCAAAACATTGAGGCACTTGTGCACAAGGAGGCGGATTGCGAAGCACTCCTTGAACCAGGTCTACGGCGAGGACTCGTTCGAGACCCCGAGTGGCGAGAGCAGTGCCAGTGGCAGTGGCAGTAAGTCCATCGAGATGGAGGTGGTGGCCGAATCCCATGAGAGTCTGCTGCAGGCGATGCGGGAACTCCCAGCCCTGGGAGTCCTGAGCAACAGCCCGAACGGCACCCACAAGAAGGCGGCCATCTGCTCCATCCATCAGCCAACGTCGGACATCTTCGAGCTCTTTACCCACATCATCCTTATGGATGGCGGCAGGATAGTCTACCAGGGACGCACCGAGCAGGCGGCCAAGTTCTTCACAGAGTAGGTTTGTTAGTGCAACCCGAGATTCCTTGCTATAACCTGTTCATTTAAGCCTGGGCTACGAACTCCCGCTGAACTGCAATCCTGCTGACTTCTACCTGAAGACCCTGGCGGACAAGGATGGCAAGGAGGATGCCGGGGCTGTGCTCCGGGCGAAGTACGAGCACGAGACGGATGGACTCTACAGCGGGAGCTGGCTGCTGGCTCGCAGTTACAGCGGGGATTACCTGAAGCATGTGCAGAACTTGTAACTTCTAGCAGCAATCGATGGGGGAATATTTTTCTGACACTCCAAAACATGTCTTACATTTCAGCAAGAAAATTCGCTGGGTATATCAGGTGTACCTCCTGATGGTGCGCTTCATGACCGAGGATGTGCGGAATATCAAGAGTGGGCTCATCGCCTTTGGCTTCTTCATGGTAAGTGCTTACTCGCTGTGCCCAAGCTAAGCAATGTTGTGATATCCAACTGCAGATCACCGCTGTAACACTATCCCTCATGTACTCCGGGATTGGAGGACTCACCCAGCGGACAGTACAGGACGTAGGGGGATCTATCTTCATGCTCAGCAACGAGGTGGGTGCCTGTCTTTCCTCTCTACATTTGGTAACTTATGTAGCGTAACTCCTCCTAGATGATCTTCACGTTCAGTTATGGCGTGACCTATATATTTCCCGCCGCCCTGCCCATCATCAGAAGGGAAGTGGGCGAGGGCACCTATAGCTTGTCCGCCTACTACGTGGCCCTGGTGCTCTCCTTCGTGCCCGTGGCCTTCTTCAAGGGATACGTCTTCCTGTCCGTGATATATGCATCCATATATTACACGCGCGGCTTCCTGCTGTACCTCAGCATGGGCTTTCTGATGAGCTTGTCTGCGGTGGCGGCTGTCGGCTACGGGGTATTCCTTTCCAGCCTCTTCGAGTCGGATAAGATGGCCTCCGAGTGCGCGGCGCCCTTCGATCTGATCTTCCTGATTTTCGGAGGCACCTATATGAACGTGGACACAGTGCCTGGCTTAAAGTATCTTTCGTTATTCTTCTACTCCAACGAGGCACTGATGTATAAGTTCTGGATCGACATCGACAATATCGGTGGGCTTAAACTCAGTCCATAATCAGCATGCATTGTTATCAAA